ATCATTTTGCTATGTTTTTTGTTTTGTTTTGTTTTTGTCCTGGAACTTATTTTCTTTTTCCTCTTTTCTTGCCTTCCATTTTGTTAGTCAAGTGTTTCTAAAATATATTGTTTTATCTCATCCATTAGCATTTTGTTAAACATTTTAGTATCAATCTTTTGGTGGTTACACTAGAAATTACAAAATGCACTCTTACCTTATTAAAGTCTGTTTTAAATTAATATTTTTAACATTTCCCAAATGATCTAATAACTATGCAACGATTTGACTCCATTTACCACCACCCCCTTTTTTGCTACTGTTGTTATGAATTTTACTTCTACATAAATTATCAACTTCACAAAACATGCTTATTACTGGTTTTTAAAAATAATAGTCTTTTATATTTATACATCTATTTACTCTTTCCAGTACTGTTCACTTCTTGAACTTCTGTCAATGAAAATGTAGATGCCTGAAATAGTGGCAGCCATCTAAGACAATAAGGAGAGAAATGTGGTCAGCATGTGGCAGCATGTGGCAATAGTTAAATGGCTAAACAAGCGGTGGCACATCCGTCGTCCACACAATGGAATATAAGGAATAGACTATGGATACACAAGAACTCTGATGGATATCAAGAGCAATTTGCCGAGTGATTTAAAAAAAATCTCAAAAGGCCACGTTATATGATTCCATTTATGTAACCTTGCCAAAATGACAAAATTATAGAGCTGGAAAACAGATTACTGACTTCCAAGGGTTAGGGATGGTGAGGGAAGGGAGTATATACAACTCCCCAGGGGTGGCGCAGCGAGACGTCTGTGGCCATGAAATGGTAGTTGTGACGATCACACAAATCCACACATGGGATGAAGTGACAGAACTGTACACTCACGTCATGCCAATGTCAAATTCCTGCTTTGAGTATTGTACTACAATTATGTAAGATATGTGAAAGCTGTTCAAACTGGGTCATTCTTGTCATAGCCAACTAAAACAGAGTCGAGGAGCTTGGGAAAAGGACTAAATGATTTATTTTGCTCTAAAGAATGTAATTCTCTGCAAACCTGGCTGCTGAGACCGCCTGCTGGAACCTGAAACCAGTTTTATCTAATAGCTACTGAAGCACTTGCTTCAACTCTAAGAATAGTTTTACCCATACAGTCACTTACAAATCAGAACCTGGCAGCTCCTTAAAATTTCGCTAGTGCCAATGAACTTTCTTGAAGAACAACATATAACATTTCTCTCTCTTGCTCTCTGTCTTTTTTTTTTTTTTTTTTTTTACAAAAGCCCTAGCCTTCTCTCTGTTCTTCAGATAAACTGAAGACCATCTGGTCTTCATGTGTGCCCTAAGTTGCAATTCTTGCTTCCCAAATGAAATGTTTTATATTTAGAGATTTGGCTCTGTACTTTATTTGGCTTTGACAGATATCACCATTGGGAGGAATTGGGTGAAGGTACACAGGACCTCTCTACTATCCTTGCAAGGTTCTGCGAGTCTATAATTATTTCAAAATACAAACTTTGAAAACATAGACAATAGGGTGAGAACTCTAGGGGAGTCAGAAAGGTTTCACTGTGGAGGCAACTTGGATATGAGTCCCAGAGGTTGGGCAGGAGCTTCCAGGGGTGACAGAAGCATTTTAGGCAGAGATCAGTGTAACCGTTCCGGAAGGACAGAGGTAGGAAAGGGCAGTGTATCAGTTAGGATGCTTTTGGCCCAAAGTAATAGAAGATCCATCTAAAAGTGGTTTGATGAAGAGGGGTTTGTTATATATGTTGGCTGTTCTCTGATCACTCTTCCAGTTTCATTCACTGCACTTCTCTGTGCCCTGGGGAGCTGACCTCACCATCACCTGTACCTCTTTTGGATTCCACAGTCTTGGCAGGATGTCAGAGAATTCCACGAGACAGTATTTGTACTACGCTTTTCACACTGGACTGTGGTTTTTTGTTTTTTTTAGACAGTCTCCCTATGTTGCCTGGGCTAGAGTGTCGTGGCGCCAGCGTAGCTCACAGCAACCTCACTCTCCCGAGCTCAAGCGATCCTTTTGCCTCAGCCTCCTAAGTAGCTGGGACTACAAGCATGCACCACCATGCCTGGCTAACTTTTTCTCTATATATTTTTAGTTGTCCAGCTAATTTCTTTCTATTTTTAGTAGAGACAGGGCCTCACTCTTGCTCAGGCTGGTCTCGAACTCGTGAGCTCAAACAATCCACTCACCTCGGCCTCCCAGAGTGCTACAGGCGTGAGCTGTAATCCGCACCCTGCCTGGGCTGTGGTTTTGAAAATAGCTGAGATGCTCGATCTGTTCCCTCACTCCCTGTCAGTTAGCCCTCACCAAATCCCAGAAACAACCTCCTTCTTACCTTTGCAGACCTGTGGTAGCCACGGCTTCCTGCTGTTGCCAGTTCCTGAATGTTTCAGTGACCTTTGCTAGTTCCTTTCATCCCAACCACACCTCTGCCCCCAGCCCCTCCACTAACCTCTTCAGTGAACTCTGAGTGTGCTCTTTGTTTTGCAAGGATCAGGAATTGAACATTAACTCACACAACAAGAATTCTGGAGGCAGATGGTGCCAGTGTTGGTTCAGCTGCAAACTGATATCAACAAGGGTCTTAGTAATTAATCTTATCTTCTTGCGGTCCAACCTTGCTGTTAAAGTTGCAGGCAATCACATGTAAGCACAATGATATTCTATGAAGGGGCACATGGAGGTGTGTGTGTGTGTGTGTGTGTGTGTGTGTGTGTGTATGTCTGTCTTTGTACAAGGGCAGAAATCTCTCCATCACACTTCATTTCGGATCCCATGGGCCAGGATTGAATCTCATGTCTGTGCAGGGGTGAGGAAGTAAATATTTGGTATTTTTATCCTCTGTGGTGAGAGGTAGGTTTTGAAAGCAGGTGAGAATGGAACGTAGCACTTGAGGTACGTGAAGCAGGTTCTGAAGATTAGGACGCTGTGTTTCCCCTAAGAGCAATGTGTCAGTATTAACTAAATCAATGTTCTCAGTGACTTTATAGAGGATAACTACCATGAATAACAAGAACCCCAGGATTTATTTATCTATCTCTAGCATTTATCCAGTCTGACTTAGATAAATGATGGTCTACCACAAGCTTTTTCCACCTTTCTTTTTCCCTTAACAATATATCCTAGAGCTCACTCCCTCGTGGTGTTCCTTTTAACAGCAGTGTAGTATTCCAGTTTGTGGATGTGCCGTAATCTAAGTGTCAGGAGCTGGGAGCACCACTCAGCTAAGATGGTCTAAATCCAAGTTCAAGGCCTGACGTTCCCTGGACCACAAAGAGGACTCAAAGTGGGTTGCAAGTCTAGGCCTGGGCTGATTTATGTTCACCTCAACCTCACCCTGTGGGTTGTTAGCCTTTAGCGTTCCAGCTTCACATGAGTGCAGTTTGCTAGTAGCCCCATTCCGAAGGCCTGGGCATTTAACTTTGATTTCTTCTAATCTGGTTTCGGTTTTCCTTCTGTTTCTTTGTTTATAGAGGAAATCTCAGGGCAAAATTAGCTCTGAGCCTTCAGCTTATTTTTTCTGGCTCTGGTCTTCTTTCAAAGTATGGTCTGATAATTCTTTAGTCTCTTTTTAGCTCTTTGATGCTTTTAAAATGATATATGTTAACATCATCCAGATATTTTCATTTTTTCTTAGAGCAAGGATTGGTCTGAATTATCCAGTCTGTCATTACTGGAACCATTTGTTACTTTTATAGTTAGGGGAAAAAATTAAAAGGAAACGTCCATGGTTATTTGGGAGATCAGTGTCAATTTTGACCGATGGATAATGAACCAAGAAAAATATCATGTTAGCATTTCTCTCCCTTCAGAATATAATAATATTCTTTCTATTAATAATAGCATAAGCTCAACACCTTGAAAGCAAAAGCCTCTGTGTGTGTCTCAGAACTTAACCAAAGCAGTTGTAGGCTAATGGACGGTGATTTGTTCAGAGACACCCTTCCAGCACACGCCGGTGTAGACTCCCAGAGCCCGAGAGGTGATGTGCGACAAAGCAGTGACAGAATCAACAGATTAACAAGTGAAGGAACAAACCAAAAATCACTTGTTTCTTGGCCTGAGTTTGATAAGGAGCCCAGTGCCACATTTCCAAAGAACTGGGACCTGAGTGCTCACCGAGATAATCTCCAAAGACAGTTTAAATCAGACGATGAGCGCAATTATCATGTGCGCGAATGTGTGCCTCAGTTACTGGGAGGGCCCTTTTCAGGAGATGCTGAAACTCTGGATTGTAAAATCAGACAGATGACCTCTGCAGTTCAGGCTGTTTGCTGGCAGAGCAAAAGCAGTATCAGAAGTAGTCCCTGGACGGGGAAGGCAGGAGAGCAGAACAGAGCTGACACGAGCCCGTGAACGGCGCCGGCCCATCTGTCCCCACCACTGCGCGGTGGGCTGAGCAGGAGATGCTGCCACGCGTCGTCCTAGGCCTCCCCACTGCCATGGTTAGCTGGGCTGCCGGCACATGGATGGCCAGGGATCGTAAGAGCAGGAACATTTAGGATAATGCGTGTCTAATTCTGTTGAAGCAGGCCCCATCTGGCTCTGCGGCTGATTCCGTATGTCAGGCAGGGTGTTGTGTAAACTGCCCTGTGGTTGTGCCGTCTGTCCGTGTGAGCAGGAGCTCCTGCTCTAGCTGCTGACCGGGAAGGTAAAGGAAAACCGCAGAGGAAGGTGGTGCTGCTACCTGTGATTTTAGTGTAATCACCACTATTCACTCACTGAAGGCCTGCTGATGATTTCTGCCGTCAATCTTGAATCAGTGCTTTGTCACCATGGTATCCAGAGAAACAGCTCTGCCCAAGAGTGCTCTGTCTGGAGAATGTTCCAGAACCCCAGATTCTCAGATCAGTTTCTGAGCTGGGGAAAGCTTGGTGTCTGGACAGCCCTAGTTTCCAGAGGGAATGATTCATTACTGGCAGAGGCAGGGGTCTGAGCTGGCTCATTCGTTCGCCAGCACCTCCGGCCTTTCCGATGCTGTCCTGGGCTCCAGGGCCTTAGGCAGACTGTTCAGAAGGACTTTTAAGGCATCTATGGGCAACGGGACTCCACTGATTCCACGTAAGGAAATACACTGCATCATCTCCTCCATCTCTTCTTCTGATTTGATTTTTTTTTTTTTACTCTCTTTCAGATTTTAGTTTCTTCTTCTTTTTCAAGATCCCATTTTATTATCAACATCAAAGGTCAAACTCTCCTCAGGCTTTGGCACCACTCTGGAAAAGCATAAAACCCTAAAAAGAAATTAAAAAGAAAAAAAAGCCTGGCTCAGTTTCCGACTTGCTGCGCTGCCTGTTGCCGTGACTGAGAAGGCAGCGGGCACAACATGCAGACATGCACTCCCTGTCCTCAGGGCTGGTGTGCCTTCTTCCTGAGTTAGCATATCTGGGCCAGTGTCTAAAACTTACCTCCTTTTTTCCTATTAAGGAAATCTCTCTGGAATTTGTACCTTGCTGTCTCTGGCAGCTTTGATGAACGCTTTTGTCACCTGTTATATTGGTTCCTATAATTTGCTGTCCATCTGCCTGGACTATTCCCTGCAGACGTGGCCCACTTTAGAAGTGCTTACATAGGTCCTAGTGAGGATTATGCAGGGGTTCACTGAGATGATTGCCTTGGAAACTGAGCTGGTTCACAGGTTCTATTAACTTGAAGAAAAAGGTGGCCTTAACTGAAAAGTGTGAGTTGTCCTTGTGGTTTCTTTGTTATTACTTACAGAAATTTCACCATACTTTATACTTACTTTCCTTTCAAGCTATGGTTATCCTAAAAAAAATTAAACATAGAATTACCATATGATCCAGTGATTCCACTTCTTGGTATATACCCCAAAGAATTCAAAGCGGGACTTAAACAGGTATTTGTCCACCCATGTTTAGCAGCATTACTCACAATAACCAAAAGGAAGAAACAACTCCAATGTCCATCAATGGATGAACAGAAAAACAAAATGTGGTATATCCACGTAATGGAATGTCATTAAGTCTTAAAAAGGAATGAATTTCTGTTACATGCTACAACATGAATGAACCTTGAGGACATGATGCTAAGTGAAATAAGACAGTCACAGAAAGACAAATACTGTATGATTCCACTTATACAAGGTACCTAGAGTCATCGAATGGATAGATACAGAAAGTAGAATGATGGCTGCCAGGGGCTGAGGGAGGAGGGAATGAGGAGTTAGTGTTTAATGAATACAGAGTTTTAGTTTTGCAAAAAGAAAAGGGTTCTGGATGGATGGTAGTGATGTGAATGTACTTAATGCCACTGAACTGGTTACAATGGTAAAATTTATGTCATGTATATCTTACCACAATAAAAAAGTAGTGACTAATTTGGACCTCTATATATTAAATCTTGCTCTACCTACCGTGCATGAGTTTGCCTTGGAAGGGAAATGCACAGATTCTTTGTGAATGGAGGGTTTGAGGGCTGCCTGAAGTCATTGGGTTACATGTGTCAGTAGATTTGCATTTGTATAAAAGCATGGAGCTTATCTATATTGCCTAGAAAGAGCTTCTGTATCATTTTGCCACTGTCACAAACCAGCCCTCCACTGGGTCCCTTGACCATTTTAGCAGCATCCTGCCAGCAGGTGGCTGTGGGTATCCCGCTCCAGAAACCCGACAGGGAGCGGCTGGAGAAGTGGTCCTGGAGAAAGAGGACTGTGGGATCCAAGCCGCGTGAGGCTGGAGCTTCTCCTGCCTCCTGAGAATACATGGGCAGCAGCGCTGGACCCAGAGTTATGAAGATCACAAGTGAAAACATACAGTGCTTTTTCAATGGTAGCTAATATTTTTTCTTCCATCTAGGAGAGCTGGGGGCCTCTCCAGAAAGCCAGCCTGCTCAAAACTCAGAACTCCCTGCTTTGTGCTACAGGCTCCTCCTCACGTGTCAGCCAGTGACAACGCCGAGTGTTCACAACAGGCTGCAAAGCACAGACGCTGCAGGAGGGGCCTATGGGTGAGGGAAGTGTATGTGATCTTCACTTTGGTGGGGCCTACACAGAAAACAAGCCGGGGGACAAATTCTCCTGACTTGGACCCACCTTTCAGGGAATGGCAGTTCCGTGCACGCCGCAAACCCTGAGGAACTGCGCTCTTCTGTTGAAACTCCTCCCTCAGCAAAGACGTCTGTGGACCCACCCGTACACATGGGCAAAGGCCACTCCCTGCGTCTCTCTGCCCGAGGCTTTCCCTCGGGTCCGTACCCTGTGCGGCAAGCACACAGTTCCCGTGGGAAGCAAGAACCGGGCCCCACGCAGGGCAAGCGCATGCGCGTGCCGCCGTGGCGGTGGGACTGGCCCTGTGATGGGTTTAGTGTTTCGCTGTCACAGTCCTGAAATTCTCAGTTGTTTTCATCTCTGAACTAGCGCTTTGCAAGCGCAGTCTGTCGTAGGGACGCCGGAGTGCGCGCCAGCAGAGTGGATACACGCAATGTGTCCCCGTCTTCCTTTGTCGCCTCCTCATTGCCTAGAACTTTCCCAGTCCCGAGAGCACAGAATTTCTGGGATCCATGATGCAAGGAGTTCAGAGAGACAGGGCAAGTGCACGGCTAGTGTGTCATGTGTGCCACGGAGCAAAGGGGATGTGGACACGCGGGAGGCCACGCTTTCCCGTCTGGACAGAACTTGCTTCCAACTCGGAAAGAAGATAGGAGCAACCAAGGAGCCCTGTCACAGCCTTTCTTACTCGCATGACTTCCCCGCATTAGCCAAACCTCTTATGCTGAAAACCAAGATACAGGAGGGAAAGGGAGAGATGCCGCGGCCACAGCACCTTTTCTCCTCCGTCCTTCCTCACCTAGGGGAGCAGGAGCCATAGAGCCACTGGGAGACCGGGATGTTGGAATGGACGCCCAGAGAGAAATGAAATAAAATCAGAGGAGTGAGTTTTGTGCAGCCATTGCTCTGGTAAGAAATATGTAGATGTTTGGAACTGCAAAATACTAACTATATAATTTCTCTGCCTCTGCATAGCAGTTAAATGCTGATCTTTGCATGTAAAATTGGCATTGCACAATATAAAGATGCATGGTAAAATCTGTGCTGATAATTTAAAAATTATTCCTCATCCCTTGGTTGGAATAACTTTAAGGTGTGTTCTCCACGTGGGTAGAGATCCTCAGTGGGATTGGGCTCCAGCTGTCCTAGCAGTTACTTGCTCAGTGGCACCTCTACTGGCTGTCTTCCCTCCCCACCCACCAGTGATCTTCCCTGGGATCACTGTCCAAAAAACACCAATTGCACTTGAATCCTTGAATGAGGTTCTTTTCCAACAAATCTACAGAGGACACCTGTCTATGCACTGGGCACCACAGTTTAGGGGCTGCTCGCAGGGCATTTTCTCTGTGGCTTGGCTATGATGGGATAGCCTTCAGCAAGCCAACAGAGAGCTTAGCAGTGCATTTTATCAATTCACTCTGGAGCTCAGTCTGCTCAGACAGGCCAGGAAACCCCTGTGCTTTTTGAAGTTTTATTGATATTTGTAAGGAAAATGTCAAGTTGCTAGTTTTAGAAATATTGAACCCAATAATTATCAAAGTATTTTTTCCTAATGTCAGTCTGTCCCAAAATAAATTCCCTTTTATCATTTAACCAACTCTTGGAATTTATTTTGTAGACACCTGGGAGATTGTATTATGCTCATGAGGCCCATGAACTTCAAGGGATGCAGACACTATGAAGCCTGGACCCCCGTGTCAAATGACCTGTCATGCCATGATGCACACAGGCCACAGAGAGCCCTTTCTTGCCATAATTCCTTTCTGAATTGGAGAGCTTTCCCAACACAGCCACATGGCAGTCAAGGGGCGGCATTATCAAGGGAGATGGGAGGACTCTTGTCCTTAGATCAGGGGCATTTGTCCAGTAAGTCCCCCTGTTGCAATCTTAGCCCTCACATCAGTACTGAATCACCGAATGTCCAAGGCCATTACCAGGACAAAAGGTACAGGCACACCTCCCTCATGTCTGGAATACTGAACCTTCACATTCTGATTCTTATTGAAGGGAGGGCCCAGTGTCACTGGGTGGCTCCACTTAACAGACACAAAACGACAGAGGTGCTGTTCTTACTGTCTCCCTGAAAAGCAAAGAGGACACATTTTAATCAGGGAGGATTTCACTCTCGCTACTGACATAGGGAGCCTCGTCACATCCCAATAATTTTGATTCTTTGTTCCATCTTTTGAGCCTCCCCTATAGAACAAATACTCCAGACATCAAGATAGGATGCTCTGGGTGGTATTAAAAACCATGGAATCACGTTTTCTGGCTCTGCCCTCACCCAATCTCTCTCAAGGGCTTCCTGCAAGTCCCCAGGAGGCCCTCACATGGCACAAGAACTGTCCCCTGTACTCACATGGGCTGACAGCTTTGTCTTCTCTCTGGGTCTGGTTCATACTGGTGGGTCCCAGTGGTCATGACTGTCACACTGACCCACTGGCACTTCCAACTGTAGAGGTACAGGTCACCTTTCCAGCAAAAGATCAGAGGCATTCTTTCTTCAAGTAAGTTCTTTCCTTTGCTTCCTTTTGTGAAGAGATTCTTGGGCCTTTCTGTAACAAGAGGAGTCCCGGTCCTCTGCCTGGAAGGAGCTTCCCCATGTCATTCCCTTGTTGTGGTAGCAGCCAGGCAACTTCTCTTGGGGCCTAAGACAGAGCTGGCTCAACCCTACCTGGCCCAGTGCCCATGCTTTCTTTGAGCTAGTCTGATAGACACTTCAGGGAATTTACTAAGGTTGTTTTGAAAATTATTTCCAAATCAGGAGACAAGTGGGAAAAAAAATCCACCATCACAAAAGACAAAGCAACTGGGTTTCATTGTTTGGAATGAAGATGTCTTTGGAAGATGCTGTCTTAGAAGGACTCCAATGCTAAAGATATCAAAAAGCAACCAAGAATTTGAATAAGGGCTCAACTCTGAAAGATAATACACATTTGTTGAATTTCCAGGCAATCTCTCTTTCCGAAGTGTAACACGGTGCCTTTCTCACTTGCCCTTGCATGGTGGCTTCATTAATCTTCCACATGGGTGACTACCTTTTGATGGAACCTCACTGAGAATTGTCAAGGGATAAGAGATAGGGAATATTAATGTGAATTCTATATTGCAAGGGTGACCTTATGTGGTTCATATTTTTCTTTCAGGTCAGCAAGTTTTTATAAATCACCTGAAAACATTAGCATTGCTGCAATTGCATTTTTTTACTTACTTATCTGAAACTATGCATTTTTTATATTTATGTATAATCTTTGAATAACCTATCCTGGAAATGTAAATTTTTTCAAAGAGCCTTCTTTTACCCATGTTCCCATTACATTATATTAGTTATCTATTTCATTACTAATTATCCCAAACTCAGCACTTGAAATAGTCATAAACATTTGCTGCCTCACAGTGTCTGTGGTTGTGGCTTGGGGTCTCTCATGAGGTTGCAGTCAGGTGTCATCCAGGGCTGCAGTTACCTGAAGGCTTGGCTGGGGCTGGAGGGCTCAGTTCCAAGGTGGCCACTTGCATGGCTGGCAGGGCACTATGGACTCTTGGGAGGAGACTTCACTGGCTGTCTTCACAGGCCCCGCCACACGCCTCCCAGGGTGTCCTCCCAGCTTGGTAGCTGCTTCCCCAGAGCCAGTGATTCAAGCCACAGTGCCTTTATGAAACAGTCTTGGAGGTTATACATGGTTGCTTCTGTCATGTTTTATGGGTCACACAGACCAGGCCTAATTCAATACAAGAAGAGGCTATATACAGGCATGAATGCTGGGATCCTTTCAGGGGCTGGGGAGCATCTTGGAAAGTGGCTACCTTGATTCAAATGTCATATTTGTGCACACATTTTTTCTTTCTTTTCTTTTCTTTTCTTTTCTTTTCTTTTCTTTTCTTTTCTTTTCTTTTCTTTTCTTTTCTTTTCTCTTTTCTTTTCTTTTCTTTTCTTTTCTTTTCTTTTCTTTTCTTTTCTTTTCTTTTCTTTTCTTTTCTTTTCTTTTCTTTTCTTTTTTTTTGAAACAGAATCTCACTCTGTGTCCCTGGCTAGAGTGCCGTGGTGTCAGGATAGCTCACAGCAACCTCAAACTCCTGGGCTCAAGCGATCCTCCTGCCTCAACCTCCTCAGCTGGGACTACAGGCATGCACCACCATGCCCAGCTAATTTTTAGTTGTCCAATTAATTTCTATTTTTTTTTTTTTTTTTTTTAGTAGAGACAGGGTCTTGCTCTTGCTCAGGCTAGTTTTGAACTCCTGACCTTGAGCGATCCGCCTGCCTTGGCTACCCAGAGTGCTAGGATTACAGGCGTGAGCCACTGTGCCCAGCCTGTGAACACAGTTTTTAATGGTGAGGAGGAGGATATGAAAGTGAAGGTGATCCAGCTGTGGTGACCTGTGAGCTGTCCTAGATCTTTCATTCAGGCCAGCCTCCACATGGCTCCTTGTACCCTGCGCACACATGCACACACAGATGCTTGCAGACACATTCACTCGTGCACACCTATTCCCAGACACACGCTCACACACTGCCCATGCTGCTGCCAGCCCGCTGCCCTTAGACCCTCAGCTGATGCTGTTCTCTTCTGCTAAGTGGTCCCAGCTTCTTCCTCTCCACACACACCACAGCAGACACCTCATTAGCTGCAGTTTGCTCACTACTGCTGTTCTGTACCCCAGGCTCTTGGTTTCCCCTTGCTATAGACGCCTTGCTCTGGTTTTATATGTGCCCATCATCCTGCCCTCCTCTGGGATTTCAGAGCTTGGCCTTCCTGCATGGTTTTCACACTTCCCCTCCTCCAAGCTTGCTTTGTCTTTTTGTCTAAGCGGAAGATTCTCCAGCCACTCTCACCTGCTCCTCGGTGTTCCAGCCCTGTGAGTAGGGCCCTGCCGGGAGCAGCTCCAGCTCTGTCCTTGCAGAAATGAGAGGATCAGAAGGACCATTTCAAGTGGAAATAAGACGCAGTTTGGGCTGAACCTCTTTAGCCTTGATTTGAAAGTCATATCCAAAGCCCAGAAGAGTGATGTCTTCTTCTGCCCACTCTGAAGACATGCCCCTGCGTTCTCCAAAGCTCGCCATTCCACAAGGGGTTTTATGTTCTTAGCACATGTCTCTGCCTTCACTAACCTGTCTTTTGGGCCTTGGAGATGTTCCAGCATAAAAGGGGGTTTCTATGTCCATGCGGGAATTAGGGCACAAGTAGAGTTGGTCACCAGGAATGAGAAATGGCCCAGCCAGGAGTCCACAGCCGATTTCATGATGCAATGTATCGAGGGAAGATAAAGGGTTTCTCTGCACATCTGGAAAGCTCACAAATGAATGTGAAAGCACATGGAAAACTCACTGATTTAGTGGTAATTGGTGCTTATGTCCAGGGAGTGCATGTCTGGGATCAAGAACACTATTAAACGCACCATTCTCGAGTGCGGCTGCTGGTGCCAAGCTCTGTGCTAGGCCCTAGGAGCACAAAGATCATGGTGACAAGGGCTCTAACCCTGTAGGCTTCCCAGTCTGGGACAGAGTCTCAGATCCACAGGGGCAGGCGGATGTCTCCAGAGCCTGAACAGCTGCACCTGCTGCACTAGGAAAGGGACAGCTATGTCCACCCACACTCTGATCATGAGTTCTTTGGCACTAAGCATAAGCACTTCCCTATTTCCTTAATTTAGGGATTTGAAAAATATACTTTATTCACATGCATTAGTATGCCTACTCTCAAAAATAAATAAATAACAAATTTATTTGGTGAGGATATGAAGAAATTGGAGTCCTTGTGCACTGTTGGTGGGAATGTAAAGTGGTGCAGCCACTGTGGAAGGCAGTGCGGAGATTCCTCAAAAAATTAAAAATAGATTTATTATGTGATCCAGCAATTCCACTTCTGGGTATATATCTAAAAGAATTGAAATCAGGATCTCAGAGAGATATCTGCTCTCCTATGCTCATAGCAGCATGGTTCACAATGGCCAAAAGGTAGAAACAACTCAAATGTCCATCCATGGATGAATGGATAAGCAAGATGTGGTATATCCATGTAACACAATGGCACTCAACCTTAAAACAGAGGGAAATTCTGACACATGATACAACATGGCTGAGCCTTGAGAAAATCATGTTGAGTGAAATAAGTCAGTCATGAGATGACAAATACTGCATGATTCACTTATATGAGGCACCTGTAGTCAAATTCAAAGAGACAGGAAACAGAATGGTGGTTGCAGGGGCAAGGGACAGGGAGAAAATGGGAGTTAGTGTTTAATGGGAATAGAGTTCTAGTTTTGTAAGACGAAGAGTTCCAGAGATGGATGGTGGTGATGGCTGCACAACGCTACTTAACGCTACTCAACAATACACTTAGAAGTAGCCCGATCTGATGAGAACCTGCCCCGACTGCCCTCACCATCTGGTGCCAAGGCTGGTTCTTTCCCTCAGTGACATCTGGCTAGAAGCCTGGCAAAGCTGCCCAAGCCTGAATGCAGATCCATCCTGTGGGCACCAAGCAGCCAAGGTTGGCGGGTATCTCCAATCCTGCCAGCGTCTGTCCTCTTCTCTCTCCAGGGACTCGGACCACAGTGAGCTCCCCCTTGCAGGCACTGCCAGCCCCTGTGGGTTATGCCCAGGTCTCAAGTGTCCTGCATGAGGAAGCCACTTCCATATGTGGGCCCCAGAGGGTCTTTTGCTGGCTTTAGGTTGCCCTGAGACCATCCTAGAGATGCTGGTTTCTGTAGTTCCTGCCCTTTCCCTGCTGGCTTCTCTCCATCCTGGGCCTCCTGTAGGAAGCAGACCCTCCCACCAGCTAATAGGGAGGATTGGTTTCCTCTCCTATGCCCCTGATCTGGAATCCGCTGGTGTCGGGGAGCCAGCCTCAGCCACTAGAGCTTTGTTATTAAAGTTGCCCGCAGCCCTTCTGCTGTGAGCCTCGGTGGCGCATCTGGGTAAAACTCTCTGATTCCAATATTCACTGCGCCTGACAAATACACCACTGGGCAAGGAGACAGTACAGCACAGCAGAGACAGCTTTGGGATGAGAAGCATATGACACTGAGCCTCAGCTTACTCATACCCTGGCTATGTGACTGTGGCAGGTTACTTAGCGTCACTGGCTTTGGTTTCCTTGTTGGTAAAGCAGGGTTGTTTGGGGAAGCAAGTGGAAGTAAAGATGTGTGGATCACCGCAGTGTGGGCTGCAGAGTAGGAATTGGATCAGTGGTAGCTCTGAGTAGTGGTGTCTGCAGCTCAGTGTAGACCTCTGGTTCTTGATCACGAGCATGGTGAGATAGATTCCCTCCCAACCCACAGCCAGTGCTCTCTGTACACACAGAGGACATTGCATGCCTCAGGGGTCACCTAGCGGGAGCTGGGAATTTACTTTGCAGGTGAGGGAGCTGGGAATTTACTTTGCAGGTGAGGGCTTCCGCTGCAGTGAGGAAGTCGGCTCCCCTGTGGCTCTGAGAGGGAGTGCTCAGGCATGTTTATGTTAGAGGAAAACAGTCTTATCATGGTCACCCTGAGGACTGAGGCTGGCAGCATGGGATAGCTGATTGATTGGTCACATCTAGTCCCACCACTCACTGGCCAGGAGGCATCTTCAGTGGTCCTAGTGAGGGTCTGGTACCCCAGCTTCTGCTAGTTGTGTCAAAAAGCAACAGCACAGCCTCGGACACCTGTTAAAGTTGGCGAGACAGATTTATTCAGACTATTGCAGTAGGGGATAGAGACACCAGTACACATGAGCTCAGCTCCAATCAAGACCAAAAAGTGACTGGGGTTTCACAGGGAGAACAGAAAGGGAACAAAAATGGGCTGTGAGAAGTGAAAAGAGAGAGAGAACCAAAAGTTAGGCTAAAGGGGCGTGGGGAGATGGGAAATGAAAGAAAGACAGTAAGTGCAGAATTACTGAAAATAGTTTGGCACTACAGGTTGGGACAAGGCGTATTTTGCAGCTTAGCAGAATTGCGTTTTCTTGAGCAAAGGTTCAACATGGGTGTTGGGTCACCTTTAGGGGCTCGGCTGGCACAGGGGGAAGCCAGGGTGAGGTGTGGCTGAGGCTGTCAGCACTACATTCGGGCAAATCCTCTGTGCGTGGGGAGCGTACGGTTCACAGTTGGAACAGGTTGTGGTGGAAGATAGCACCGGGTTTGGATATCTCCTTGGAAGCTGCTGCTGCCAGTGTAGTGTCTTCCTTTCACACCTGGATGCTTCTTGGAGCTGCCTCCAGGACACAGTCTTGCAAGATCTGACAACTGCAGTCGCAGTGTGAACTGCCCTGGGCAAACAATAGCAAGGACATGCGCTGAGAAGCAAGAGGCTACTTGCTCACAACCATGCAAAGTATAGATAAGGGAAAATGTGGAAGCTTGCCGAGGGGGCGAGAGCTCCTTGGGACTGACCTTGAAGGGGAGCTGTGAAGAGCACCCAAAGGGCCTCCTGAGTCTGGGTTTGCATTTGAGCCCTCAGAGAGGAGTGCAGCCCCCAGCAGTATACTGATTTCTAGATGCTCTCCATTTGTCATCTGGTTTGCTGCGATTATCTTACAAAAAGGACTTTTCCCACTTTTGTTTTGTTTGGCCTTGAATCCAAGCAATATTTTTGAAAGCCAACATTTGTCAGGGAGTGAAAAGACCAGGGAGGCATCCCCAGGATGTGGCCTGGGGAAGTCCATTGCTGTGCCAGGACCTGTGTGAACAGCTCGTTCCCTGCATCCCAGCACACTTGCATCCTTCCTTCTTCCATGCCGACTTCTCCTGCTTGCCTTTTGCTCCTTCCCACCTGACTGTCCTCTGGGACTCGTTCCCCCATCTCACCCAGCTCTGAAAAGACTTTCCTGACACCATTATTACCAGCCCCTCCCTGCTGTCCTCATTGCTTGATCTCTGTACAGCTCCTCACTTGCCTTCAGCAAGAACATGCTTTGTAAAGCCATGGGGACTGCACACCGGTCTCTGCTGTCTCAAGCTGCTGGACAAACAAGTCCTGAAGAACAGAGACGGTTCTTTGACTTCCAACTCTTGGCATAGTCATAGATTTGTTGCTTTTGGCAATGAGAGGTGAGCTAGGTGGATGCTTAGACCGTGTGCATTCATAGGCAAGATGGCATCAGTGTCTGGATAGCCAACAGGAACTCTGCAACCGTTGGAGGAAGTCCAGGAGTGGTATAAGAGCAAAGACCAAGTCACTTGAAGCCCACTGCATTTATTTCTGTTGCTTATGGACTCTGGGAAAGAGCCCTGGCTTCATGCCTCAAAGGCAACCAAGAGCTGGTTTTTCCTCCGAGGTGGCATGAGGAGGGGTGACGGTGGGTCTCAGGAGTCCCTTCTCAATACCACTTGCCCAGACTTGAGCTGTGAAGCACCAGCTTCTATGCAGTATCATGTTGCAGAGAAATGTTCCTCTTGATTTGATTACTGTCTTGAATTTTATTGCCTTGCTACTGTCTTGGGCAGAGGGAAGGGCTCCAATTGCTGAGAAGAGGCCAGACAAGAAGGAGGGCCCGACTCTGAAAAGGGATTGGGTCTCAGGTACCATAGACTGAGAGACGACATCTGGAACAGCAGCTCTGACCAGAGGAAGAAGAGCTCAGAGTTCTCAGAGAAGGAAACCTCAGCCGGAGGGACCATGCCTGCTGGCTGTGGGACGAGTGGACATCAGTGTCTTCAACTTTAGGTCCAGCTTGGCTCAGGGCTGTGGAGGACTTAGCCAACAGCTGAGGACAGCTGAGCTCAGCGTGGGGACACAGATGGATATATGCCAGCACACGCACATGGATTCCGTTTCAGCAGAAGGAGCCTCTGTTTTGTCTACCCCATGTTACTCAGCATCACACGGTTTATACTCTGTGGCCTTGCTCCAGCCCTGGACAACTGACTGGGGACTCTGGGTCATCTGGGTCACCTCTGTGGCCTCAGGCTTGTGGCCGACACTGTGAAGACTGCTGTCTTCTAGCTCAAGGAGGTGAAGGCTCTGGAAGCGCAGGCATCGGCAGGATGGTAGCTTCGAGCCATTCAAGTAGCACGGGGACACCTGCGGGGATTGGGGAGTGTGCTGCAGGCTTATGATTGTGGCCACTTTTCCTGCTGTTTAATTTACTAAGCAGCACAATGAGGTCTCTAGAGACAGGGGTGGGAGCAAGTTGGGGACAAGGGATTTGAAAGATCATCACAGTTTGAAATGAGCCTAGTGTGGGCATACATTATTATTTCACCCTCTTTCTTCTTTCCCAGGCTATAGGGAACTTATGAGAAGAAGCCTTCACATTGCTGCATTCTCAGAGAAAGTTTTTTTCTAGAAGAGACATCCCCAAATATGAAAGAGGACACCACCAAGACTCTGGGCCTTGCCTTCCCCACAGACTCTGGCATGAGAGGGAAAGGACAGCCAGCACCAGCCACAGGGTGTGCTGGGGACCTCCCAGGATCTACCCCTCAGCTCGGTCTCACCACTTTAATGAGCATATGTCAGTTCCTACATGCACCCCACACACATGTGGGCCTGTCCTGGAGCTTTCAGAAGCTGGTACATCTCTGTGACGTTTCCATTCGATTTTGGAACTAGGAACATTCTCTGGTCCATATGCTCCGAGTGGCACAAATCTGAAAGACACTGAGGGTAGGTGGCATTATGGGAGAATTCTAGGAGTCCCTTATTTTGGCCTAAGCTCCTGTGCTAGGCCCCGACAGGCCAGACTAGAAACCAAAATGGAGTCACCCAAGCCAAAACTCCACATCACTATCCGAAACTAAGCTGTCATCTGACCTTCTTAGAAATTTCAATCTTCCAGTTTCAATCTTCCGTCAGGGTGATAATGAAGCCCCTTCCGCTTTAATCCTTCACCTGAAGTCACCTATGTTACCCCATCAGTCATCTTTCTCTTGTTGTCTCCTTGGCCCTGCCGTGCAAGGAAAGTTGCTTTACCCTGTCTGCTTTTTGTTCTTTGTTACTGCTCTCTGTAGCCCTTCTCTGTCTATAAAGCCAAACTCTCCTGCTCAGCTCATTGGAGAACCTATTCTATTTTATGGAATGAAGCGTTGCCTGATTCTAGAAATGTGAATAAAGCTAGTTGAGATCTTTAAATTTGTTGTAATTTTGTCTTTTGACAGAGGCTAGAACTTACCCCATGGGTAGATGCTTCCTTAGCAAGTAACTCCCTTTTTCTGTCTGAGCTACTGGACACTAACAGAGTTCATCGTAATAACTAGGAATAAAATGTTAATGAATTAAATAAAAATGCATTGGCCCAGACCCTGTACTCCTTCTGATTCTGAGGGTTGAGACAACTCCGAGTAAGTGTTCAACCTCAAGATGAAATGGTGAGGTTTACTTGGGGTAGGGGGATGGGTCCAGTGAAGCTTTAACTTTTGCTTCATGCATTTTTTTCTACTGGCTCACTTTTTATAAGAGGCATGCTTTACTTTGTTAAATTAAAAAAAGAGGCCAGGCGCTGTGGCTCACGCCTGTAATCCTAGCTCTTGGGAGGCCGAGGCGGGCGGATTGCTCAAGGTCAGGAGTTCAAAACCAGCCTGAGCAAGAGCGAGACCCCGTCTCTACTATAAATAGAAAGAAATTAATTGGCCAATTGATATATATATAAAAAAAATTAGCTGGGCATGGTGGCGCATGCCTGTAGTCCCAGCTACCCGGGAGGCTGAGGCAGAAGGATCACTCGAGCCCAGGAGTTTGAGGTTGCTGTGAGCTAGGCTGATGCCACGGCACTCACTCTAGCCTGGGCAACAAAGCGAGACTCTGTCTCAAAAAAAAAAAAAAAAAAAAAAAAGAAAACCAAATAAGGAAAATTGAAAGAGAAATTAACACTAATTTTGAAAAGAAAGAAGGACAGGCAAAATGAGGGCAATTATGGGTTGCCTATGGAGGGACATGGGACAGCCTGGGGTCAGAGAGGCTGAGGGCAGGGGGTGACAAGAAGAGGCCTCCAGTGCCAGAGGCCTTCTTGAATTAGGCCCACCCAGTGACGGCATCAGAGACAGACCTCCTCTGCAATGGGCAAGTGGTATCATTCTGTGAATAATTGCTATTGAATCTTTACTAAGAGAGGAATATCTGGGCACTGGAATTTACATACGTGTTGGAGAAAAAGTGTGTGTTTATCTGATGACTTGGCCTGGGGCCAAAGGGCGTTTTTGTGAGCCACTGTTGCAGAGCTAAGGCAGCCTTTGCAGTTTCTCCACGTAAGTCTGGCTTCCTGAATATCCTCTTTCTCCTGCGGTAGAGGAGCCATTCCATAGACTTGACTACTCTGCGACTTTGCTTCCTAAAGATAGTGTAGTTTTTAACCAGTATTTGTTTTATTTTTAAAAATTATTTTTCTTTTCTGGATACAAATGAAGTATCTTTTTATTCTAGAAAATTTATAGAAAATAACTTATGAAAAAGAATAATCACCCAGAATCTCACTGTCCAGTGGTACCTACTGTTAACTTTGGTTTTCTATGCATATGTATTCGTATATTTTAGCATACTGAGGATGGAGGGCTAGCTATTAATTTCCTACTGCTTATCCAAAGTTGTGTTAACTAAAAATAAAATCCTCTGCTAGCTGAATGGAGCCCTCTCAATCCAGGGGACCCCAGAAACACCTTAAAACTGAGTTCCCAGCCATGACAGAATGGCAGAGATAAAGCATAATTGCATGTATGTGATATCCCTTCATAAATATTCATGACTCCTCCTATAGCTTGTTAAATATGGGTATTTGACCACCTCCCTCAGTATAAAATCCCGTTGCCTTTTGTCTCTTCTTTGAAGCACATGTGCCTGGCTTCTGGCCAGGGCTCGGAATGGCCGCCCAATAGGCTGCCACTCTTCATGAGAAATAAAGCTCTCCTTTTTCCAAAGTAGAAACCTAATGTAATTTTTTTTAGTTAACAATTGGCTCTTGCCCAGACATTGGGAAACGTGCACTCTAATGCCTGTGATCTCACTATTCACCTTATAGAGTGGGAAATAGAAAGAAATGCTCAGAGAGTTAAAGAAACTCATCCCAGCCCAACAGGATTCCCACCCAGGTCACCACCCAGGCTCTTGACATTGTTGTCATTGCTGTTGTTCTCGTTTTGTTCTGCAGGCAACAGTCTATCAGCCATTACCCTCTAAGATTGTGTTATAGACTGACAGACTCTTAGAGTAGTATGGGGACTCAGAGTGGCAGAATTCACTTTCTTCCCAGCCCCATATTAGAACTTGTGCGATACCAAGTGTGTGTCCTTGTGTGTGCCCTAATTTCCAGTGAACTTGAACTACTGAGCTCTCAGGCCAAATATTCCTTAACTCCTTTGTGAGAGGGAAGCTATTAACAGCACCCAAAGGGCAAGAGACTTGAGAGGGGTAGTACTCTCATCCCTGCTCAGAGGGCCTCATTGTTTTTTCCACTGGTGGGATTACGTTCATCCCATGTAGTATTTTGAGATCAAGGAAAGGAGAAATGGCATGAGAGTAAGTAAAGCACTGGGAGTTCAATCCAGATGCTTCTGTAGCTACTTTGGAATGTCTTCCCCAGGATAGAGTCGATGTACTCTAGAGTGAAAACAATCAACCCTTGTCATAGACGCTGGGATGTGCTGCCAGAGGCCCTTCAATAACTGGCTTGCTGTCCAGCTCCGGGGGTCTGCTGGCAGGTGGCCCCCAGCTCCAGCCTCTCGGGGACTGTCTCAGCCCCAAGGCCACCTTGTTCAGGGAGCATCCCTCCTGGGGTGGCCCACACCCAGGGAGGGATCCAGGCCTTGCCAGCTCTTAGCATAACACTGACCATCCTAGCTTGGGAGCCCCCCAGGCCAGCTGAGGGTGCTGCTGGACCACCCTTCCCCTTGGACCAATCCTGCTCCCTTCTCCTCCCCGCCGGGTGTCGATCCCAGTGGTTTTCCTTTGTAAACATCCTACATGCCAAGTTCTATCTCCATGTCTGCTTCCCAGGGAACCCAACTGTAGCAACCATCTGTCCTAAAATGTTTAAAGGCAGAGGATTGAGGAAGCACAAACACAAGCACAAATGTTTACTTTATGTACTATGTGTATATATGCTAAAATGTATTCAATATATAGAGTATATTTACACAGATGATTAATGTATACACACAATGTTTAAAGTATGCATTTATGTATACATATACATACATATTTAATTATTTATTTAGTGGGAGGTCTCTCATCTAAGGTCTATGAAACTAGTAGCTAGTAAGTAAACAGCCAAAATCACTTAAAATGAAGTCATTATATGTGTGTGTCTATGTGCATAAGCACATGCACATATATATTAATATCTATGCATGCATACATGGATGTGTGCATGGGTATGTGCATATATGTAAATGTATATATATATATACATGTATATATATTAAACATTTTATTTTAACTTGAAGCCTAAACACATAGATGTACATGCTGGTCATCTATCTGATTTGGTGATTTCAGATCTATGTCGACTTCCTGCTCAAAGCACACATAACCATAATACATTGTCTACATTTATCAGTTTCAACTTATTTAAAGTGACTAAGAACCTAAAGACCTTTGCACAGACTCTAAAGTGCAAAATCCTTATGGATTTTCACTTTATCCCTCTTTTAGAAGTCTCCCTGTGCACATATAATTGGACATAATTTTTTTCATGACTCACCTTTATTCTTGCCAAAGCTTTGAACTTCATTTTCATAGAAATAACAACTTCCCTTTCCCCTTCATATCTCATGGGATTAGGTAATACTGGATGTTTCTAAATCACCCAGTAATGTCTGGGCATGCTGGGCTGGACACCAGTGCTGCCACCTCTAAGGAAGTGTGTGTCTTGATGGATCGAGCATGGGCCTTGCTCCTTGGTGCCCTGGCCCCCAGCAGCAGCCTGTAGATTACCTGAGGGAAGGTGCAGGAAGCTGGGAGAACCCAGTGACCTCAGCAAGGTGATTCTGGAGGGAGGGCCATCAGGAAGGCTTCCACTGAATAAGTTTAGGTGCAAGGTGTTGGACGTCTGGCCACTGTGGTGTTGCATATGCTCCCAACAGGCACACACACACACCCTTCACTAAACACATATTGTTCAGCTCCTACTCTGTGCTAAATACTGAAAATAGTCCCCCAAAATGCAAAGTCCTTGCCCTGGAGGGACTCACAGGTGTATGACGCCAACCTTTAAATAGCCCATTACTAACAGCATGGTAGGCGCTGTGAGAACGTGCAGGTGGGAGAGACCACCTGTGCAGGTAAGGCATACTCCACAGGCTGTAACACTTATTAGAGATGGGTCTGCAAGATGAGTAGGAATTTGCTGGGTGAGTAATTGAGGGAAGCACTTTCCCAGCAGGGGACACAGGGCAAAGCCGCTGATGTGTAGAAGGACTCAGCATCCCCGGGAATAGCCAGCATCGCTGAGCATGCAGCCTGGTGCAGAGGAGAGGCAGGAAGAACAGAGGAGGCAGGTGGGGAAGTCTCCATGGACCGGAATACTCATGATATTTGTACATTTATATTCTCCTCACATATTAGCATTTTTGCTATAGAACAAACGATAATACTTTTTAACTGAGGTATTTTTAAACACAGGTCTAATCCACCTGCAATTTATTTATTTATTTATTTTTTTGAGACAGAGTCTCACTTTGTTGCCCAGGCTAGAGTGAGTGCCGTGGCGTCAGCCTAGCTCACAGCAACCTCAAACTCCTGGCTCAAGCAATCCTCCTGCCTCAGCCTCCCAAGTAGCTGGGACTACAGGCATTCGCCACCATGCCCAGCTAATTTTTTGTATATATATTAGTTGGCCAATTAATTTCTATTTATAGTAGAGACGGGGTTTCGCTCTTGCTCAGGCTGGTTTCGAACTCCTGACCTCGAGCAATCCGCCCGCCTCGGCCTCCCAGAGAGCTAGGATTACAGGCGTGAGCCACCGCGCCCGGCCTGCAATTTATTTTTCATGCTAGAAGGCAGGCATCGAATGGCTCATTCGATTTTTCACCATCATTTATTGCATTGTTCTTGTTTTCCTCGCTGATTGGTAGAGGCAGGATTGTCATTTGTCCTGTGAAACTCTGCAGTCTCTGCATTACAGGGCTCTGAGAACATGGCTTAGTCCATGGGCTGTGCGGTGAGACACCACTGCACGTGTGTGAGAATGGTGAAAATGACAAAGGCTGGTCACACAAGTGTGGGCGAGGGTGTGGAGAGCTGAACCTCTCACACACCTCTGATGGGAATACACCATGGAAAAGCCACTTTAGAGAGCCACCGGGCAGTCTGTTAAAAAGTTAAATGTACAGCTACTAAGTATGATCCAGCCATTCCTAGCTATTTGCACAAGAGAAAAGAAAGCATATGTCCAGGCAAAGACTTTTATACAAATGTTCACAGCAGCACCTTTGCAATAGCCAGAAACTTGAAACACATGCAGT